AAAACTCTGTTTCAGATGTGTCTCTCTAAAGGTCTTGGAGCTCCGATAGGATCAGTAATCGTTGGTTCACAGAGTTTCATAGAAAAGGCGAAAACGTTAAGGAAAACATTAGGTGGAGGAATGAGACAAGTAGGCATTTTGTGCGCAGCCGCTTTGGTCGCACTACAAGAAAACATTCCAAAGCTACAACTTGACCACAAGAAGGCAAAGTTGTTAGCTGGTATGTACGCATCCATTTACCCTGAGCATTATATTAATAAAACTACCAAAACTCATTCATTACGTATAATTGCAGAAGGGTTGAATCAAATGAAAGGGATTAGAGTAAACGTTGCAGCTGTGGAGACCAACATGGTACGCGTAATTGTCACAGCTCAAGTACTATTGTTATCAACAACAAAAATCTGCTATTTGTTCAAGTTATTTGTTCTTTTACTTTAGATTTTCATGGATATGGAGGATGGATCAAGACTTACTGCTGAGAAACTGCGTAAGAGTCTAGAGGAGCATGGCATTCTCGTTATCCCGGAAAACTCATCCCGGTAAGTCATGCGATAATAGGTTTCCATTGTTCCGAACATTAACGTATAACATGTAAAAACAATCAAAATATTCAGGCCTAACATATTTTTTGTTTATGTGGAATGTGGTTTCAGGATCAGAATGGTTATACACCACCAGATAACAACAAATGATGTGCATTACACATTATCTTGCTTACAAGTAAGAATGTTCATATTTTCTCTACTAATCAGTAATCACTTTCTAACGGTGAAACATCAGTTAATAACTAATTTTGATGTTTTCTTTTTTGGCAGCAAGCAGTACAAATGATATAAAAACCAAGCAGAAATCTAACTTGGCGAAACCGAAATGCAATGTTTTTTTTCTTCCGGATGTCATCAAGAATGATCATCTATTATATATTGTTTGTCTAAGTGATTTTTAATTAAGACCATAATGATCTCAATGAAATTGTTTGTCACCTACATTCCTCTGTTTTGGGTTACATGCTTTCTTTGTCTAAGTGATTACATGATTCCTCACATTTTTCACCTCTCTCAATTCCTCATACAAACAAAGTTTAAATTTTCCCTCTTGTTGTTACATGGTATGATTCTTCTCAAGAACCTGGAAACACACCTAGTTGAATACAAAATCCAATGATGCTAAAGAGAGAGATAATGAATGTAGAGGGCGTTGATATTCAATCTCCTTAAGTCCATGTTCTTTGGACTTTCAAAACAGATGTCATACTAGTAAACTGATGTAAGACACATGATTCTGACTAGTAACCAAAACTAATGGTCTCAAGAACCCTTGAATC